AGCACAGCCCGAGCCCCCGTGGCCAGGGCTGCCAGCACAGCCCGAGCCCCCGTGGCCAGGGACAGCACAGCCGCCTGGAGCCACTGCAGTGCCGGGATCTGCTGGTCCAGAACGCGCTCTTCACTGGAGACCTGGTCACGGTGCAGAAGTACTTCACCAGGAGCGCAGCCATCAATCTCGTCATTGAGACCAGGGGGGATGTGCTGCGCTGGACTAGCAGGAAACGTGGTGGGTGTGTGGGGCTGGGACACGGGGAACAGAGAGTGCCCAGGATGTGGCCCAGAGAAAGGGCATGGGCTCCTCAGAAAAGTGTTGAGAGGAATCCCTGGTGCTGGAAGAGGTGTTTGGGAAGAATGGCTTTTGGATGAGGAAGGAGGATTCCAGGGCTGTAGAACAAATGGTAGCAGGCTTGTTGAAGGTGACCAGTGACAGATCTATGAGGAAATGGTGAGAATAGAGCCCTTGGAAGGGCTGCCAGTGGGGCACATCATCAGGATTGTCTGGATAGAGACTGCTGGGATAGATGGTAAATGTGTCAGATGGAGAGTGCCTGAGTGAGAAGGGATCAGATGGCTGTTCTGTTCCATAAGATGGATTTACCAAGGGGAGCAGAAATCCAGCCCGGCAGAAAGATGGTGGAAGCAAGCTTGTCCTGAGTGACAGAAGGTAGGACCTGATCATCCTTGGTGTTTCCTCCCATCTGTACACCTCACTGTTCCTTGCCCAGGCACATCTTGTGGCTACCACGCGTGCTTCCACATTCTCTGGTCCCTTTTACTTCCCTCCTCATTGATGTCATCCATGAGTTTCTCAGCAAGCAGGGCAGCTGATGTGTTCAAGGGAGAGGTGCACTGAGCAGCCTGGACATTCCCCTGTCCTTCCTGCTGTCTGTTAGTGACGTGGTACAGGCAGACTCCCAGAATTTAGGAGTGTCAGGTGTGGAGGGGTCATAACTGTCTTGCACCAGAGAAAACGGAACAGATGATGTAAAACAATCTTGCACAGAAATTGTGAAAAATCCAACCAAATTCATCAAGCACAGAACGAAAATGTGCTACCAAATTTATCAGCTAAGGATGTAGAACAAAAACCAAAATAAACCTTTGTGTTACCTGAGGCTTGGCTCTGTGTGTCACTGGTCTGTAGGACAGATTCTTAAAACTGACCCAGCCAATGACCTTAACATTGGGTTCTAGTGACCTGGTCTTTCCCAAGTCACCCCTGTTGATATTTTAAGAAGCCCAGAGGAAGTGTAAACTGTCCAGTGTCACTGATGTTAACTGGCACAGCTTTCTGCCTCCCTGGTGGGTGACTGGGAACCTCAAGCTTTTCTGGGATGTCTGCTTCTATCTTTGGAGAAATATAGGGTTCCATCAGGTGAGAACATCTGCCAGATGCTTCCCTTTTTTTTCCCTTTCACAGGCAGCATTTTAGTTAGTGAGGGTGAAGTCTGCTGAGATAGAATGAGCTGGAGACTGTCAGTATAGAACTTGCTCATTTATTTTCATTACTGAGAAGGGTAAAGTTCCCTGTCTTACACTCTGCTCTGGTCCCCTGGTAATTTTTGCTTGGTGGTCTATTGGGGTCACTTAACTTGTGTTTAGCTGCATGATCTAAGTAGTTCTATGACACAAAATTAAACTGAACACTTAGTAGCCTTCCATGCAGTTTGATGTGTTCTCTAGAACCCACTTTGTGAACAAAACACACAGTGAGTTAGCAATGCACATTGCTCAGGGGGCAGGGTGGGTGTGTGCAGCCAAGTGGGGCCAGAGGGAAACTCCATCTCAGGTGACATGTCAGCAGTGAGCAACCTTGAGTGGGGAGAGTGTCCGAGGATGGAAAGGGAGCACTGAAGTCTTGCAGGGCTCTCTGCAAAGCTGGATATCAAGGAAAGGAAGAAAGGAGTCTAAAGGATAATTACCTTCAATATTTCCGATCCCTGTGACTATTTCTACCTCTCCTTTGGCTTTGATTATGAAGAGCTGTCCTGTGGCTTGTTTAAAAACCTGACTAGTGCCAAGAGCTCCGGTGGAACTGGGAAGGGGGTGTGCAGTGCTGGAGATGTGCATGGAGCAGAGGACTGATGGGGTTGTGCTGTTGTGGTCTGGGCAGCACTGGATGACAGCAGGCTGGTTGAGCATGAGACAACTTCCCTCTCTGCTGTCTTAGTGATGCCCTGTCCCCATTTCTACCCTTCAGGTCCCCCTGCCCTGCTTGGGGCTTTCCCTTCACAGTGGGGCACTGCAGAGGTACTGCTGTGTGAGCAGAGAGCCTTTATCAGCCTCTTGGCCTGTGTTTGGTCACAAGGTTTCCCAGAATAGAGCAGCTGAGACCTGAGCTGTGCCCAACCCGTGCCAAAGAGGGGTGTGACGTGTCCCCCCTCCCTGCAGAGCACCCTGGGCAGGCAGGCAGCCCCTCGGCCAGAACACAGGGTGCTGGTGGGGCTGTGCCCACAGGCTCAGAGCCTGGCTGGGGTGCACCAGCAGGTCCTGCCCTGGTCTCTGAGAAGGGTCAGGGTGCTTGTCATGGGCAGCATCCCAGGCAGAGGAGATGAGAGCCGGGAGCCCATCCGCACGCAGCAGGTAGCTGGCCCTGCCCAGCTGTACTGGGAGGCCCTGTTGACTGGGGATCAGGAGATTGTGGCTGAGGTCCTCAGCAACCCTCAGAACAACCTGAGCCCCAGTGCTGTGTTTGACACCAGTGACCTGGAAGAGTGGAAGAACTACCGGTTCAACCCCCGTGGGCTGAGTATGTGGGGGCAGTGGGGCATGAGCTATGGGATGTTGCTGTTGTTGGAACTGTGTGTCACAGGAGCTGCTTGGGTTATGGAGGAGTGCAAAGGGAGGTGAGAGCATGGGGATGGGGTCAGGTTCTCCTGTGCACCTTGTGAAAGCGTGCGTGTGTGTCTGGAAGCATGGGGTGCACCCAGGAGACCTGGCCCCTCTCACAGGAGTTGTGCAAGGGCTTGGGAACTGCTGGGGTTCCCCACGGGGCAAAGGGGAGTCAATCTCTGTGACCAGCCCTGCAGCCAAGCTCTGTGTGCCTGTGCTCTGTGTGTGTGCTGGGCTGCTGGGTCCTGTTGTTGTTGTGCTGGACAAAGGATGGTCACAGCCCTGTGTTAGGTCCTCCAGATGGTTGAGCTTAAACCTGGACCTGGGAAACACGGTTGACCACATGCTGCTTCTGTAAGAAAGAGCTGAGAGGATGCAGTGCTGAACATGCTGTGCAGTCTGGGCCGTGTCCTCCAGCCCAGCCTGGGTGGGCAGCCAGAAGTCTGGGTTAAGGAGCCCTTTTCCTGTAGCATCTGCAGGCTGTTTTCCAGCTCAGTGATGGTTCCAGTTGGGTCAGCATCTTTGAGAGCTGATGCATTTCAGCCCCTTGCTCTCCCGGGTCCTAGATGTCCATCTCTGCTGAATCTTGCTGTCTGCACCCTCATCAGGGCTCAGCTGAATCTTCTGTGTGCGTGGTAGCTGGCTCTGACACCTCTGTTTTACTGCCTGGTTCCTTGTGTTTGTGATCCTCATGCATGGTGCTCATCCCAGTCACCTCACTGCCTTCAACACCAGCAGTGCCCCAGGCCCTTCTTCCACCGTGCTTCTGACAACAGCAACCCCATGTGCCCACCTGGGCTGCAGGTGAGGAGCACACGGCCTGGGAACAGCCTCTGCCCTGGGCTCCTGCTCCCTGCAGCTCCATGTCAGCAGGACTGTGCGGCCTGAGAGCCTTCCACAGATCTCTGCCTTTGGCTGGCCACTGCACACACAGGGGCCTTGCAGGGAAGGGACTTGCAGTCCCTTGAGGAGAAACCCAAGTCTCTCAGGGGGGACACACATCAGGTACCCTGTGGGAAAGGGCAGGTCTTTGTGTACTGTGGCTGGATGTGGCTCCCTGACCTCTCTTTCCTTGCAGGACTGTGGTCTCTGAGCTACGAGCAGGAGCTCACCACACCCCTGCACATCACGGCCAGCCGGGGCTACACCGACTGCCTGCGGCTCCTGCTGCTCCGGGGCGCTGCCGTCGACTTTGCCCCGGGGGGCAAGACAGCCCTGCACGAGGCTTGTGCAGCCGCCAGCACCGACTGCGTGTGCCTGCTGCTGGGCTCCGGAGCCGACCCCGAGGCTGTCTCTGAGGATGGCTACAGGCCCCTGCACCTCTGCAAGAGCCCAGACTCCATCGAGTGAGTTCTGCCCCGGGGGCACAGCTGCCCCCCTCCCCCTCGAGTCTCATCCCATGTAGGAGGGGCCCCTCCTCATCCCTGCTGGTGGGTGCAGCTGAATGGGACGGGCCTGGTGCCTGTTCCTGGGCCAGGATCACCTCTGAGGTCATACAGGTGGCTGCAAGCTCAAGTCCTCAGCTGACACAGCTGAGCCAGGTGCTGCTCTCTGGCCGTGCACCGGCACCGAGAGCCGATGGTCACATTGTGTGACTCGGGGCATTCCCATGCAGATCCAGTGGGCAGGTGAGCAGGTGCCAAGTGGGACAACACTTTAAGACTTCTGTGCAGGAGTTAGCTTGGCTTAGGCAACAGTATCTCTGCTCACCAGTCATCATGGCTTAAAACTACTACTCCAGGGCATGAGGAGCGGGGATTTTCGCTCTTGGGACAAGTGAAAGCTGTGGGATGGTACAAATGTGGGGGCTGGGAGGTAGGATGGGAGATGGAGATGAGTAGGTCACCAAGTCACCTCGGCCCACACAGGTGTGTCCGGCAGCTGCTGCAGCACGGTGCCAGTGCCAACAGTCGGACAGAGGAGGAGGATGACACAGCCCTGCACGTGGCAGCACGGCACGGCCTGGCAGAGCACGTCCAGCTGCTTCTGCACCACGGGGCAGAGCTGGAGGCAAAGAACGAGGAGGGACAAACACCACTGAACGCTGCCTGTGCTCAGCAGCACGAGCCCCAGGACATGGACCGCTACTACCGGGTGTGCCAGCTGCTGGTGGAGAGCGGTGCCAGCATCAACGCTGCCGACCGGGACAGGCAGCACCCGCTCCACCTGGCCTGCAAGAACGCTAACGCCCAAATCACAGAGCTGCTGCTGGCCCGGGGGGCAAACGTCAATGTCATGAACTACGGAGGCAACACAGCCCTGCACAATATCCTGCAAGTGGCTGCTTACAAACGGCAGCATCGCCCGGAGCTCGTGGTGCGAGCCCTGCTCAACCACGGCGCCGTCCGCATCTGGCCCGGCTCCCTCCTCAAGGTGCGGAGAGGGGTGGGAGGGGAAGGCTGTGGCCGTCAGGGCCCCGGTGTGAGCGAGGGTCACAGCAGGGTTCGTTCCATCGCAGCCTGCTCACTGTCCTGCTCACTCTGCCCAGGGACTGGGGAGAGGGAACTGTCAGTTCTGGTATGGGAATCCCTGATGACTTCTCCTGTAGGACTCTCCTGCTTCTGTCTGCTCAACTGTGTGGACAGTACTCACCCAGTTTCCATAATCACTTGCTCTGGAAAGGGTTGGCCCTTTTCCTCTGGAGGTGTTTCCTCTCAGGGGCACACCCTCCAGCTCCTGCTGTCTCTGGGAGACACCAGCAGATAAAGGGTTAATTTCCTGTCTTAATTCCTGAGCAGTGCAATAATTACCCAGCCCGGAGATCAGCAGATTGCTCTCCCCTTTGGGAAAATACAGGAAAATCAACAATTAACACTAATTAATCTCCTATTAACGCCAGATAATGAGGATCACTGGTACAGCCAGAATAGACTCTGACAGCTACTGCTGGCCAGGGCCGTGGGGAGTGGGAGCCCAGAGCCGGGGGATCTGTCTCTGTGCGACTGCGCCTGGGTGGGCTGTGCTCAAAGGCTGCTCTGCTATGAGGTACAGAGAGTCAGTGTGTCACCTGTACCCACGTGGACATGGGACACACCAGAGACACATTGTACAAGTAAGTGTGATGTCTTCTGCGGCTCTGTGCAGCCTCTGGCATGGGCACAACACTGCTTAGGACACGGGGACGGGATGTCTCTGCAGCCCCGTGCCAAGCAGGCACAATCCTGTATTCCTGAGACCCAAGTGCAGCCCTCAACAGAGGCACAGAGTACCATGGTCGGGCTGCTCATAACACAGGTGTCAGTCCCTGACTCAGAATGGCTCATGCTTCAACCAAAACATGAGGAAAGGAGCCCGGTGTACAGCAGAGCACTGGTGCTTACAAGCTAATTGCAGCAGTGAGGCCAATCGAGATCATCATCCTAGTCGTGTGCACTGATCTCTGTGTCTGAGGAGAGGCTGAGGGGACCCAGTTGTGCTGAAAGCAGCTGTGCTGTGCATGTTGGGTGATGGCTCAGTCACCCTCTTCACAGGAGAGACGCTCTGGAGCTTCGCGCCCGCTTTGCTGTCCTGGGTTGGCACGAGGGAAGGGTGCGAGTTCCCCAGATTTACCACACCTGGGTTTGAGCAGCATTCTAGGAGGTGACAGTGGGGCCTGCAGGACCTTGCCTGATGGTGTTCCCCTGCTCTCTCCCTGGCAGGTGCTGCGGTACTGCCACAGCTGCCCCCGTGTCATCGAGGCCCTGGTGAACAGCTACACCCGCGTGCGCGTCTCCGAGGACTGGGTGGCAGCAGTGCCGGTGGAGGTCGTACAGGTGAGGGAACAAGAGCCTGCTGTTGGCTGGAGAACACATGTCCAGGATCTGGAGGTGGGGGCTGGTGCGGGTGGGCAGGGCTGAGGCTGGGCAGCAAATTGCAGGACACGGGGATGGTGCTGTTGGGGACAGGGAGGATGCACAGGAGTGACTAAGGCAAATGGGTGTCTGGTTCTACCTCTGCTACCAGGATGATATCTTCAGCTTTTTCTGTCTGTGATCCTCTCTTCCCTCTGTAGAAATACCCACTTTTCTACCAGTCTCTCTTCTCCCTGGAGCACAGACCTCGCTCCTTGCAGCACCTGGCTCGCTGCACCCTCAGGACCCTCCTGGAGGGACGACTGCTTCTGGTCCTGTCCCAGCTGCACCTGCCAAGTGCCCTGCACCAGTTCCTGCTGCTCGGCTTTGAGGATGTTCTCTACTAAGGGCCGTGGTTCCAGTCCTGCTGTGCTTTTCTGCGAAGATGTTCCACCCCCACTGATGCAGTCGGTGCCTTCCCAGCCATCCCCTTCCCCTCACCCCCTCCTGCCAGGCCACATCAGCCCTCTGTGCCAAGCCTGTCACTGTGTCCCAGTCAGTCTTGTGCTCTGCCTCATGCACCTGGTTTGGAGCATTCTGTTTGTCCATACTACTCAGGACAGACTCCAGAATAAGAAAATGAAGATATGGGGATTAAGGCATTTTGTGGGACTAGGAGCAAGTACACTGCATGGATCATAGGCTTAGTTGCAGGATATAACTCTCCCTATCCCAAATCTAAAAACTCTAACCTTTACCAGGCAGCTCTGGTGCCTTGGGCAGTTGTTGGGATCCTGTCTTTAGTCAAGTTGTTTACAATCTGTACCCAAAGGTACGGTTGTACCTACCTGGGTACAACTTCTGTTTTGCCTTGAAGACTGTCCTGAGAGCTCACGCATGTGCTGTGCCATGGGTGGTGTCATGTGCACTTTTGGACCTGTGAACCTGCTTGTCAGAGGGAAATGTGTGGTGGGTGTGGAGCTGCGGGTCCCAAACAACCCCTTTTCGTGGAGGTACATTGTCTCAGTTACCTGGTTTAGCAGCTTGGGTCAGGACAGCAGTGCTTGTGCAGCACTGAGGACCCCACTGCAGGGTGAGGAGGAACATTCCCTGAGAACTCTGGATCAGGTCCAGTGGTCTTGTTCCCAAAGTCTAATCAGCACTTTAGAGAGTTCATTTTTAGCCAGATGATGTCTGTGGCTGGACAAGGAGTAGGAACAGGAGGGCCTGTTCCTTTTGGTGGCAGCAGAGTCTGGGATTGCCTTCGCCTGACCCTGTGTCCCAGTCTGAAGGCAGTGCAGAGCAGCACATGTGGCAGGTGTACTGTCCTTCTCTCCAGCACTGTCCCTATGCCTGTGATCAGTAAAGCATGCTCAGGCACTAAAATAATATCACCTTAAGGAGAGGGAAGGGTTGAATTTAATGGTTTGCTTTATTTTGTAGTTGTTAACTTGCAGCTGTTAAGCTTACAGGCATTCCTTGGGTCTGGCTGGCTGCTTTTGCCAGTTCTGAGGCTGCTCTGTGCTGGGTGGTGAGGACAGCTCCAGTGGGAAGAGGAGAACCCACAGGGTTTGGTTTCTGCACTCACAAGGGCACAGGGAGCTCCTGCACGAGCAGGCTGGGCAGCTCCTGGCACATCCCAGTCCTCCTTGGATGAAGGTGTTACGGCCCAGACGGGCAGTGAAGGACCCGTGTGAGGCTGCAGGTGCATTTCCAGGGCTCTTCTCAGAGCCACCAGGATTGCAGGCAGGGTGTCCCAGTGTGCATGGCAGGGCTGGGAGAGGGACAAGCCATCCCTGGGCACAATCTTCATAGACTGAATTTTGTCTGTGTTCCCACTGAAACTGAAAGGGTGTGAGCTCATTGTGTGTAAAGGTACCACGGGATAACTTCAAGGAATGTGAGGCTGGTAGGAAAAGGGGAGAACCTTTTACAGAGGGACCAGGATTACTGGGGGGAAAAAACCAAACCAATTCCAATCAACCCACCAGAAAAGCTTTAGCACTTTTTTCAAGCTGAAACAAGCAGAAAGGTTTGAGCTAAGCACAAATGCTCCAAGTTTAACTCAGTTATGCTAATTTATTAGCAATTGATTTTCAAAAACATTTACAAGAAGAGACTTAAAAAGGTTTAATGGCCCAGAGCACATTCTGGCAATTTAACAGGCTCTGCTATTTTCTCAGGTGTCAGAATGGGAAATTCCTGATGCAGCACTGGGTGTACTTGCTTGGACAGTTTTGCCAGGGAAGTGTAACCATCCTGAGTGGGAAGGTTGTGGCCTCCACTGGGGACAGCGAGCGTGAGGCATTGTTAGCACAGGGGCATGTGGTTCTGGTGTGTTTTTACCAGCTGCCACAGGCACAGGCAGCTGCTGGATTTGCTGGGAATGTGTCTTAGACACAGGCTACTGCTCCTGCTTCAGCATCCAGCTGGGTTTGCCATGGCAAGAGGCACCCTCAGGACTGCTGGAAAGGTGCTAAGTCCATTGCTGCATTCTCAGTGCAACCATCTGAGTGGTGTGCTCAGGGGTAAAAAGTCATCCCAATCCTAGACAGAAGTTTCCATCCAGCCCAGCTGCAGTCCCTGGATCCTGCTCTGACCCTCCCTGTGGAGCCAAAGCACTGCCCATCCCTGGAACCCTCTTCTGGGAGATCAACAGAATCAGCACCTCCCTGCAGCTTCCCAACCTCGAGCCCCTGCTTGACTCTCACTTGATCTTTCCTGTTCCTCAGGAAAGAGCGTGGCACAGGCCACAACAGGGGCAGACTAGTAAACCATAGTGGTATTTACAGAAGGACAACAAGTAGAGAAAAGCTCTTCCCCAGCATGTCCATCCCTACCCTACACTTGTAATCTACATTGTAGTTACTTTTGAGTCAAAAAGGCAGCTTTGTATTTATTGGTTGGTGAGAGATTTGTCTTTTTCTGCCATAAATTTGAACAGTCACTTTTTGGACCTGTGTATGTTTGAGCATTCTGATGTCCTTGTGGCAAGGAGAGCTGAATTGCACAGTGTGTTGATCACCTCCTTTTATTTATCTTTCTGCTGTTACCATTGTGTTTCATTTGATGCCCTTTAACTCTTGTTTTCTGAGAATATATGGGTAGCTATCGCCTGTTCCTCTTCATCATATTATTCAGAACTATACAGATCCCTGCCCCTTCCCTCCTTGCTCGGGCTGGAATTCTATTCAGCCGTGCTGTTCCTGTGTGGAAGCTGTCACCCAGCCCCTACTACACCCACAGGCTTTCCCTGGGCTGTTCCTGGTCCCAGTGCATCCTTTGGAGGTGCAGGGAGGACAGCTGTGCACAGCACTCTGTAAAAGGGGGTTTTGCTGTGATTGTGTAAGGGTTGTTCTGTTGTGGATGTGAGATCCACACGAATGCTCAGGAACTTTGGATTTGTATTTGACATCACTTGACCATTTGCACAGCCCCGGAGGAGGCCTGGGCAGCGCTGCCTGAATTCAGTGTTGTCTGTGCTCAGGTGGCACATGTCACAACCTTTAATGTTTTTCAGACTCATTACTATCTGGGATGCTGTCCTTGATTTAAAGTGAAGCCCCATTCTTCTTTCCTGTACGTTGCACCTTATACTTGGAGGCACAAATCAGCCTGTTCATGTACCTGGTGTTTCCAGCAACCAAGATCAGGTTGTCTTGAGTAAGTGCCACATATTACTTTTACCATCCCAACAATTCATTTTTATCCACTCCAGTAATTTTGTCAGCAACTGTTCTTTATTTCTCACTGATTGCTAACAACTTGTAACATTGATATGCAAAGAGAATAGAGTAGAAATACACCTGTCAAATGGTTGTGCAGGATAAGTCTTCTCAGTCACCCAGTTCTTTTGGATCTCTTAGTGCTGAGCCCACTGCCTGCAGCACACAGCTAAGTTTTCACATTAGAATGTCCTGCAGAACTAAGTCAAATGACTTACAGGAATCTAAGCATACCCCGTCTCTCATTAGCTGTATCAAACTTATAGACTTAAAAAAAGTTACATAAAATCATTTGAAAGTACCTTTTTTGAATTAGGTTAAAGTGGGTTCTAGCTTTTGATAATTTACCCAGGACATCCTTTGGTTGCTTGTCTGTGATTGGCTAAAGATGTATGTTGAACTAACTGGTCTGTAGTTTCCTGGATATCCATGTGAACACTTAAATACTGACAAGACGTCGGATTTTTTTCCCCCCAGTAATCTTAAGTTCCCCAGAGTGCCATGATTTGTTATAAAGAAAAAAATAAACGGTTTAGTGAATTCATTAGCCAGTTACATCCAAGAGTATTTAAGCTCTTCTCCTGCACATTACAAAAATTGTTACCTACACAGTTTAGCATCTTCCTTAATTACTGATGGAATAGAAAGTATTTCATTACCACTGTAAACTATGAATATTACACATTGTTGTTTCAAATGCAGAGCAGAAATATCCACTGAGTTCTTGGGTTTTGTTATGCAGAATGGGTGTGGCACAGTCACCTGGGGCCGGGGCCCAGCACCTGCAGGTCTCTGCCCTCTCTGCTGCTGGGGCATCCTGGTTTGGGGTTGGGGTGTCAGAAAGTTTGAGCAGTCGGAGAGGTTCAGAGGAGCACCGTGGGTGGGTGATGGGCTGCAGTGACTCCTGGCAGCAGGAGCTGCACAGGGGTTGGGGTTGGGCACACCATGGTTGCTCCTTGGAGTCCTGTGAGCAAGTGTGGGCTCCTGTTCTCCAGTGCCAGCTTCACAGGGTGAGAGGGGCTGGGATCCCACTCCCATGGAGAACTGAGGGACCCTCCATCACCTCCTGCCACCTGCTGCTGGACCCTGCTGTGTCTTGCCAAACCTCCCTGCAGCGTCCATTCAGCACTGCCAGGCTTTCCGATGGCACTTGGAGGTAAAATTAGACCCAGTGGCTGGAAATTGGAGCTGGGCAAACACAGAAATTAGAATTAGAAATGAAACACATTTTTAATAGCAAGTGCAATTAATCTTCTAGTTAATTGCATCTTAGAACAGCTTGTCATGGTGGATGTAGATTTCTCATCTCTAGTTTTTTTAAAAATCACTGTAGGCTTTGCCCTAGCCCAGAGCAGGGTTCATCCTGCACGGTGGTCAGCCCAGTCCCAAAGAGATCAGACTGATTAATTACAGATCTATGAACCACAGTCTTGTCACTCCTCTGCACTGTGCTGTCACTGCTGGGACTGTGTTTAGCCCAGGATAATGAGCCCCAGTTTCCCCTCCCAACGCTGCTCACTCCTCATTGATACCTCTGACTTCCCCTTAGTTTCCTTCATTTTGGCCCCACTGGTTTGTACTGGTTCTGTCAGCTTTGAGCTCTGAATCTGCTGCCTGCACTGCTTCCTGAGAAAGACATTCTGGAATAAATGGTGATGCTGCATTTATAATGTTACTTAAATATTTGCTCTTACTCCATTTCTCTCACAAGCTTTAGCTTTGAGATCTCAGCTGCTGGGCAGTGCTGATGGTGTTTCACCCTGTGGGATGGGCGGTGGTTGGGGGTTCCAAAGCACCTCAGGGCTGGATGTGACACTCAAAGGCAAACTCTGTTCTCTCCCCAGCCCCTCAGGGGCTGCCCCACAACCCTGGCTGGGATCCCCCGTGGGGAGGCACCGGGTGCCCTGGCTCAGGGCAGTAGGAACCTCAGTGTTCATGGCAGGCTGGGACCCCTGACAGCAGCACTGCCCCTCTGCTCAGCCCTGTGCACAGCTCTGCTGGGCTCACGCTGGGGGCTTGCTTGGCCCAGCAGCAGCTCTCCCAGTGCCGAGGGCTTCTGGTCCTTCCCCCTTGGGAACGTGACTCCAAATGCTTCCTCCACTTCTGCTTCCATCCAGAGGTGCTGCAGCAGATGCTGATGGTGCTGAGGTGAGCATGGGGACATGCTCTGCAGGTGAACCCCGGGGAGCAGATCCCTTTTGCACAAAGGTGCCCTCTGGGTTGTCCATCCCTGCCCCCCGCAGCCGCTTGCCATGAGTGAGTGGTTCAGGTCACTTCAGGAATCACCAGCAAAGGTGTCAGCAAAAGCAACTTTAATGTAAATCAGCAAAAGCAGGTTTGATATAACTTTGCAGTGGGAGCAGAGGACATCAAAAATGGTCAGAAGACAAGGAAATGCCC